TGATAATAGTGCCAAACACACACACACACACACACACACGCACACACACACACACACACACACTGCGTTTTGACCTCAAGCTCGTTAGTGACGAGGCTGAAAAAGAAGCTGAAGCAGCAGCGAGCGCTCGGTGAGGGGGAAACAAACACCTCGACAACACGACACGACGGGTCCGTCCACCAATCACAGCCTCACAGGAACACAACAGGAAGTGAGTGGAAACACAGATCACACTGAGCTGAGGGAGCTGGTCTATAAAGACTTCATATGATCTGTCCAACATGTCTGACACAGACACCAACATGTGGTCATGTGACCAAAGTGTTACAGAGTAAAAACATTCAAACACTGAGTTTGATCAATGTTGAGTGTTTATCATTAATCAGTTTTGTATTGGTGATCATTTTTAGCGCCTTTGATCCAGATGGGATCAACTGGCATTCCATAAGATCTATACATATATATATATATATATATATATATATATATTAATATAAATACAGTTTCATTTCAAAGTAATTTCCTCAAACAGCTGATCGCTGCAGTTTTCAGAGCATCTGCTGGGGACTATTTTCAGCAGCGGATCAATCCACATTTAGTGTATTTAGTTTCTGGTGTGTGGCTCAGAAGAAGAAGAGGAATGTGAGTATCTCTACACTCACATTCCTCCGTACATTAAACCACCTATAGAGAGTAGCAGCACATATGGAAAAGATGAGCGGAGGAACTGATGGACACTGTGTTCAGTTTTCTTCTGTCACGTGACAAATGAGTCGACGTCACGCAGACTTTAAATTCCACACAGAGAGCGGCGGGTCAACACGACAGCTCACAGACTGAGAAGAGCGATAAGAAGAGGGGGATGATGGGAAAAAAGATTTAGAGGGTGAGGAGAGAAGAAGAGACGGAGGAGTGTTCTCTACAGTCGACAGGTGGAGCTTCATGTTTCCTCTGATGTCTGTGAACAGAACAGAACAACACTGTGGTGGAACCACCGGAGCCTCTGAACCACGCTCCTTTTATTCTCCACAGGAAATAAAATATCTACGGTCACATGATCACGGTGATGTTTATCTACATTTGAAGAAGCTGAAGATCCGATCATCAATAAAGAATCTGTCCTGGAGAGAGCTGATAAAAACTAATGATCAGAGTCATGTTGACAGTTAAGGTGTATTGGTGGATTTCCAAACATCAATCATGCATCAAGTAACACTCAAGAAAACATTCCACCTTAAAAGGCGGTAGCTGCGGTTGCTTCTGAGCTGCTCCGTCAATTAAACTGTTCACTGGTAAAAAACATTCACTCTGATCAAGCTGACCTGGATTTATTCTCACTGGTACGAGGTGACTTTGATTTTTACTGAATTATAGAAAAAAAGATGATTTTTGCAGTTTTTATTTCCTCCTGCGGTTGTGATGTAGAAACCAAACCAGTAAAAACATCAAAATATTCTTCCCAATTTTTAAAGAAGCTGCAGTGAAATCAGTTTTTTTAGCTGCAACAATCCAGAAACAGCCTGTAAGATCCTGGAGGGACTGATTTTTGATGTTTGGCTAATGTTAGCATATTAGCAGTTAGCTAGCTTTCACAAATGAAAACACAGTTGTGTTAGCAAGTGATGATGTCATGATGATGTCATGGGACAGGGCAGAATCTACCTCCTGAGTGGCACCTGGGGCAAATATTAGATGTCGACCCACACTGTACACATCAGTTTCTCTAGAAGTGAGATGATAAGATGATTAATCAATTAATCGATGGACAGAAAATTAATCGACAAAAGTTTAAAGAACTGATTAATGGTTAAATTAATTTTTCCAACAGTTCACAGTTTGTTAGATGTGAAACTCATCCACTCTTCAGATTGTTGGTTAGTTTAGGTTCAGGTCTGAAAACTGGTTTTTCACAAGATGGAGGGTGGAGGACCAGGCAGGCCGATGTTCTTCTTCTGTGGTGTAACGTTTTGATGAATCTAATTTGCTGACACCAGAGACGTGGACTGAACCTGGAGGTCTTGACCAATTTACCCAGTCGGTGATCCAGTCTGGCCTGAGAGCAGACATCAGGGGGACTCTCTCCGCCCACCTGAGGATCTGGACTGTGATTGGCTTTCGCTGCTTCACAACAAATAAACAGGAGGTTATTGTTGAACTGCTGCCAGGTGCGTGGAGTCTGACTCATGTTGGACTGATCTGAAAATAGATCCCACTGGGCTACTTATATCACCTGGACTGATCGACCTTGACGGACTTCACAGTGTGGTCAGACAGCAGCTCTGTCTCCGCAGGATTCACCACATTTAATGTCTCACATGATCGATGGTTGATCAGCCAATTAAAAAATAAATAATGAATTTGTTCAGGTCTTTTGTTGAATGTTTCAGCAGCAGAGAAAAATAGATTCAAGACCTTTCTGAATGAAATGAAGGACGTTTTAAAACCCTCCTTCCTAAAGCTCCATATTTTCATCTCAGTGTAGTTTCACATCTCCTCTCTCAGGCTTCTCTCTGGAACTCTAGTAACAACAGGTCGGTGAGCCAATCAGAAGAGAGGAGGCTCTGAGCCTCTCTCCTGATTGGCTGACTGTTTTCTGAGTGATCAATAAAAATAAAGCAGATTTCAGGTAAAAACACTCAGAGAAACCAAATCCTGCAAGGTTTGGATGGTGGGTCCAGGTGGGTGGGGCTTGGTGACTGCTTTGTTGTGACATCACAAAGTTCCAGAAGTCCTGACGGCTGGTTTTAAGGCTCAGTTTCTGAATACAGGCTGTGTGCATTTCTCTGTGGACTGAGGCTTTGATACTTTCACAGTATTAATATAAAACTTGGAGGTTTTCAGACTCTGTGCTCAGTTACTTTTCGCCTTAAACATCAACATTATGTTTCTGATTCATGGAATTTCCTGAGGCTTTTTAATGAGCACCCTCCTCTGTCTGTGGCTCTCAGCTCTGTTGGTTCTGCTAAAGAAACATCTTTAAAAACACTTAACAACACAAATATATAGTTTGATTGTTTTAAAAGACGTTTTCCTAAAGCATCATCTTCTGCTGCTCTTCGTCTCTGCAGCCTCTCTGACTCCTCACTGACACTCTGCTATGCCGCTTTGACACATTGATTAGATTTAGATTAGATTAGATCAATTGATCTGGTTTTATCGTTGTGCTCTAAATTTTAGCATTAGATGCTGCTGAAGCTAACATCGCTACAGGAAGCCCTCTCCATCTCCAGTGACATGTAACCCTAGAACATGAAATAACACACATCAGTGCTTTGTGTTGTTGCAGACACTGCTGATGTGAATCCTGTGTGTTCTCAACAACACAAACACACAAACACTGGATTCACAGATCAGAGCTGACACACTGCAGACAACACTGTAAGTTTTAAACTCTGTAAAATTCCTCTGCCCTGATTCATATTTAGTTTCACATGGTTTATTTTTCCTAATACTTCCTGCTTAAGAGATGTGAATCAGGCCTGGAGCCCCGCCCACCACCTGCTTGCTCCAGATAGACAGGTGAAAGAGCAGAGAGTATCAAAATGGTTAGAGGAGGAAGCATCAGTTAGCATCTTTTCAGAACGCTTAGCGTAGTTAGCATCTTTTCAGAACAGTTAGTGTAGTAAGCATCTTTTCAGAACAGTTAGTATAGTAAGCATCTTTTCAGAACGGTTAGCGCAGTTAGCATCCTCTCTGAACAGTTAGCACACTTAGCATCCTTTCAGAACGGTTAGCTAGTTAGCATCTTTACAGAACATTAGTGTAGTAATCATCTTTTCAGAATAGTTAGTGTAGTTAGCATCTTTTCAGAACGGTTAGTGTAGTTAGCATCTTTTCAGAACGGTTAACGCAGTTATCATCTTTTTAGAACAATTAGCGTAGTTAGCATCTCTTCAGAATGTTAGCATAGCATAGCATCTTTTCAGAATGTTAGCACAGTTATCATCCTTTCAGAACAATTAGCGTAGTTAGCATCTCTTCAGAATGGTTAGCATAGCATAGCATCTTTTCAGAACAGTTAGCGCAGTTAGCATCTTGTCAGTGGCTGACATAGTGTTAGCGGTTGTGCTAATGCTAAATCTCTCTCTCTCTCTGTACTGACAAGGTTTAAGGTTCATTTTGTCCCGCCCCCTGTCCCTACAAGTTGACAGGATTGGTTCCTTAGGTTTGTGACGTATGAAACCCTGGCTGTCTGAATCTGTTTTTATGGTTCACTGCAGTTCAAGGTGGAAACACTCAGTCATGGTGTTGATGATTATTTCATCATCATATATCTGTATTATATAAAAACATCAAATGGAGGTGAAACACTGGATTTCATCAGAGGGGGATTACTCTGATCAAACTAGTTAAATCACAAATTTTATAAAATAAACACTGGTCTACAGTGATCTATCTATCTATCTATCTATCTTACATCATGCCAGAGAGAGAGAGAGAGAGTGGGAGTCGGTGTCTCTCTCTCACCGTCAGGTCTCTGTCTCTGTCTTTTCTTTTTTTCTTCTCTCTGAAACTTTCCCACATTCGACACTTGGACCATAAAAGGACACAGAGATCCGTGACCCGCGACTCAATCAGCAGTTTATCCCCGAGGAGGAGCTCCCCCCGGCCGGCCGCGGGCTGTCTGACCGTCCGGAGACACCGAGCTGACCCGGACCTCCACCTGCTGCTGCTCCGCGCGCCTCCCGCGCAAACCGACCCGGCAGGAGCGCTCCTTCTCAGCCATGGAATTTAACTCTAGACGGAGCGTCGTCACTGTCGGTTTTCACGGACTTTTACCGAAGAAATCACGGATTTTTTAGACGTTTCGGAGCCGTGAAGACCGCGAAGCTTCAACTGAGGAGAAAGACTCAGAAAACGATCATTAACTTCTGTTTTTGCTCCAAAATCTCTGAAAGTAAACGAGTAAAATCGGTTAATTAACGGTACAGTGGATTCACATTCATTTTTACAGTCACACTGTCATTAAAAACCAGTTCTTCTCTGAACCGACAGCCACCATGAGTCTGTGGACTAACGACTCCTCCGTGGATCTTTACGCCGGCTCGCAGCCCCCGCTGCCGGGCTCCAACTTCTCCTCCAACCGCACAGACGGCTCCCAGCACCGCGGCCACCACGGCGCCGCCCCGCTGGACCTGACCCGGGCGGTGCCGGTGGGCATGGTGCTGGCCTCCTTCATCATGTTCGCCATCGTGGGGAACATCCTGGTGATTCTGTCGGTGGTTTGTAACCGACACCTGCGGATCCCGACCAACTACTTCATCATCAACCTGGCCATCGCAGACCTGCTCCTGGGAACCACCGTGCTGCCGGTGTCCGCCACCCTGGAGGTCAGTGGGAGGAAGAGCCCGGTCGATTATAGATCTGTTATTGGTGATTTAATGAAGATAAGGTGAACGTGTTCAGAGAATGAGACTGAGGAAGAATGAAAAGAAAAAAAATGTTCAGAAATTTATGTTCCACAGTTTGAACAATGACGTTTTATTTAAGTGATTGGTGAAGGAGAAAAGACAAATATATGACTATAAATATAAATATATGATTACATGAATATATGATTATACATGTTTGTGTTTTCAGCTCTTTTCAGGTTCATACCAGTAAAAACTGAAAATCTCTGGATGTGGATGTTGGTGACAAAACACAAATCACTGGACTAAATAATTACTCCCTCCATGAACTGAAGTGACAGATTAATCAATAGTTAAAATAATTTTGCTGTTGCAGCTGTAGAATAAATCATAGAGAGGGAAGGAAAAAAAGAAGCGAAGGAGTAGAAATAAGGAGAAAAGGAAGGATAAAAGGGGAAAAATTACTAATTAATTAATTAAATCAGCAGATTAATTAATAATGTAAATATCTGTTGGTCTAACTGTGTCATCGACATTTACTGGAAATACCTGAAAACATGTTGGAGATAAGATATTTTACCTTGAAGGCACAGATGGATTAATGGGCCTCAGGGGTCAAAGGGTGGTCAATCAAACAACAACAACGAGACAAAACAACCACAGAGACAAAACAACCACAAAGAGACAAATCAACCAAAGAGACAAAAAAACCACAAAACAACCACAAAGAGACAAATAAACCAAAGAGACAAAAAAACCACAAAACAACCACAAAGAGACAAATAAACCAAAGAGACAAAAAAAACACAAAACAACCACAAAGAGACAAATAAACCAAAGAGACAAAAAACCACAGAGACAAAACAACCAGAGAGACAAAACAACCACAGAGAGACAAAATAACCACAGAGACAAAACCACAAAAAGACAAAACAACCAGAAAGAGACAAAACAACCACAAAGAGACAAAACAACCAAAGAGACAAAACAACCACAGAGAGACAAAACAACCACAAAGAGACAAAATAACCACAGAGACAAAATCACAAAAGAGACAAAACAACCAGAAAGAGACAAAACAACCACAAAGACAAAACAACCAAAGAGACAAAATAACCACAAAGAGACAAAACAGCCACAAAAAGACAAAACAGCCAAAGATACAAAACAACTGAAGAGACAAAACAACCACAAAGAGACAAAACAACCAAAGAGACAAAACAACCACAAAGAGACAAAACAACCACAAAGACAAAACAACCAAAGAGACAAAACAACCAAAGAGACAAAACAACCACAAAGAGACAAAACAACCACAAAGACAAAACAACCAAAGAGACAAAACAACCAAAGAGACAAAACAACCACAAAGAGACAAAACAACCACAAAGACAAAACAACCACAAAGACAAAACAACCAAAGAGACAAAACAAACAAAAAGAGAAAACACAAACAAAAAGACAAAACAACCACAAAGACAAAACAACCAAAGAGACAAAACAACCACAAAGAGACAAAACAACCAAAGAGACAAAACAACCAGAAAGAGACAAAACAACCAAAGAGACAAAACAACCAGAAAGAGACAAAACAACCAAAGAGACAAAACAACCACAGAGACAAAACAACTGCAAAGAGACAAAACAACCAAAGACACAAAACAACCACAAAGAGACAAAATAACCACAGAGGCAAAATCACAAAAGAGACAAAACAACCAGAAAGAGACAGAACAACCACAAAGACAAAACAACCAAAGAGACAAAACAACCACAAAGAGACAAAACAACCACAAAGACAAAACAACCACAAAGACAAAACAACCACAGAGAAAAACAACCACAGAGAGACAGGAAGTGACTCCAGACAGAGACTTGCTGCGTCCTTCATGGTCATTTTGAGTCTCTTTGAGTCCAGGTGTTTTGGTCCCATGTAGGAGGGCTGGGGGCCCATTGTCTCCTAATCTGTCCACACCTGCAGGAGACGCTGATCCTCTCACACTTTAAGTTTTGCTTCTTCCACCTGAACAGATTTTTGTATGATTGATTCTCTGGTCCTCAGTCAGTGTGAACAACATGATGTTAATACAACATGTAACTGTATGTAGCACAGTCACATGACTGATAGAAGTGGTTCATCTCCACTGACTGACTGATCCTCTGAGTCCACAGAACCAGAACCACTGGTCTTCATCTATAAAGCCATTAATTAAAGCTAATGAACTGGAGAGGAAGTGGACTCAGGTTCTTCCTGTCTCTGCAGGTCTTGGATTACTGGGTGTTTGGTCGGATCTTCTGTGACATCTGGGCGGCGGTGGACGTGCTGTGCTGCACGGCGTCCATCATGTCTCTGTGCGTCATCTCCATCGACCGTTACATTGGCGTCCGCTACCCGCTGCAGTACCCGACGATCGTCACAGAGAAGCGGGCACTGCTCGCCATGCTGGGGGTCTGGATCCTCGCCATCGTCATCTCCATCGGCCCGCTGCTGGGCTGGAAGCAGCCGCCGTCACAGGTACTAAAGCCAGTACAGCAGTGGGCAGCCACATGTTTACTCACACTAACTAACTTTTAGCAGAATACTAACTAAACTAACTACTAATAACTAGAGTCTCCTCCAGTCAAACTAGTCCAGGTCACATCCTGTTCACCCAGTCATAGAACATATCAACCATCTGAGTGAAGTCTGGAGTAATGGCTCAGGACACACTGACCTTTGACCTTAGACCACCAAAGTCTAATCAGTTCATCCTTGAGTCCAGGTGAAGGTTTTATTATAATACAATACAAAGGTTTTATTGACCCTGTAATGTTGCTGCATCACCTGCCTGAATATTGGCTCAGTATTGATTAAAATAGTCATGATTATGACTTTTGCCATTATCTTCGCAGCTCTAACTCAGATACCTGAAATTAAAAGATCAGGGTCAGGATCAGGATCAGGATCAGGGCCAAAAGAACTCATTACTAGTGGTAAATAGGTTCATGTTAAAATATTAAAGTGATGAAAGTGGAAAGATCCCAAGAATCTGAAAAATAAAACCGTAGATTTTTTTCATTTAATATTCTTTCTGTTAAAATTGATTTTTATAAAACTGGTAAAATCCTGTCGTTCAGGAGCTGGTTCAGGTTTCAAAGTCCAGTTACTGGTATCGAAGCTTTGTGGATGATGCAGCTCTACAGCAGCAGTGGATATAAACCCAGGAAGAGTCAGAGAGTTTTTTTCAGGGTGTCAGATGGACTCAGGTTCCTCCGCCCACCATGTTCTCACTGCATCAGGATCTGGATGCTGTTCAACTCTATTGATTATATAAAGCTGGAGATTTTAGATGACTAGTTTTCACACTAGTTACTGAATTTACTGAAGTTCACTGTTTCATTTTCCTCATTAAAATATATGAGTTCACTTTTTAATCAACTCACAGCTGCTGAAACAACTGTAGGGTTATTAAAATAGTTGCTGATGAACTTCCCATCAGTCGACTAATCGACTAACTAACTAAGCTCCAGCTCCTCCCCCACGCCTGCAGACAGACTGAGGTTGTGTGTTGTTATTGTTGTTGTCTCTGTTGTTGTTGTCACTGTTGTCTCCGTTGTTGTTGTTGTCTCTGTCGTTGTCGTGTCGTCTCTGTTGTTGTTGTTGTTGTCACTGTCATCTCCGTTGTTGTTGTTGCTGTCTCTGTTGTTGTCTCTGTTGCTGTTGTCGTCTCTGTTGTTGTTGTCTCTGTTGTTGTTGTCTTTGTTGTTGTTGTCTCTGTTGCTGTTGTCGTCTCTGTTGTTGTTGTCTCTGTTGTTGTTGTCTTTGTTGTTGTTGTCTCTGTTGCTGTTGTCGTCTCTGTTGTTGTTGTTGTTGTCTCTGTTGCCGTCTCTGTTGTTTTTGTCGTCTCTGTCATTGTCTCTGTTGTTGTTGTTGATGTCTGTGTTGTTGCTGTCTGTGTTGTTGTTTTCTCTGTCGTTGTCTCTGTTGTTGTCTCTGTTGTTGTTGTTGATGTCTGTGTTGTTGCTGTCTGTGTTGTTGTTTTTTGTTTTCTCTTCTCTGTTTTTGTCTCTGTTGTTGTCTTTATTGTTGTTGTTGTTGTCTCTGTTGTTGTTGTGTCTGTTGTTGTCTCTGTTGTTGTCTCTGTCATTGTTGTCTCTGTCGCTGTCTCTGTTGTTGTTGTTGTTGTCGTCTCTGTTGTTCTTGTCTCTCTCGTTGTCCCTGTTGTGTTTGCTGTTGTTGTTGTCTTGTCTCTGTTGTTGTTGTCGTCTCTGTTGTTGTTGTTGTTGTCTCTGTTGCCGTCTCTGTTGTTTTTGTCGTCTCTGTCGTTGTCTCTGTTGTTGTTGTCTCTGCTGCTGTTGTTGTCTCTGTTGTTGTTGTTGATGTCTGTGTTGTTGTTTTCTCTGTCGTTGTCTCTGTTTTTGTCTCTGTTGTTGTTGTTTTTGTCTCTGTTGTTGTTGTTTTTGTCTCTGTTGTTGTTGTTTTTGTCTCTGTTGTTGTTGTTTTTGTCTCTGTTGTTGTTGTTTTTGTCTCTGTTGTTGTTGTTTTTGTCTCTGTTGTTGTTGTTTTTGTCTCTGTTGTTGTTGTTTTTGTCTCTGTTGTTGTTGTTTTTGTCTCTGTTGTTGTTGTTTTTGTCTCTGTTGTTGTTGTTTTTGTCTCTGTTGTTGTTGTTTTTGTTGTCTCTGTCGTTGTTTCTGTTGTTGTTGTTGTTGTCTCTGTTGTTGTTGTTATTGTCTCTGTTGTTGTTTTTTTTGTAATTGTCTCTGTTGTTGTTGTTTTTGTTGTCTCTGTCGTTGTCCCTGTCATCTCTGTTGTTGTTGTCTCTGTCGTTGTCTCTGTTGTTGTTGTTGTTGTCTCTGTTGTTGTTGTTGTCTCTGTCGTTGTCCATGTTGTCTCTGTTGTTGTTTTTGTTGTTCTTATTGTCTCTGTTGTTGTTGTCTCTGTTGTTGTCTCCGTCGTTGTCTCTGTTGTTGTTGTTGTCTCTGTTGTTGTCTCTGTTGTTGTTGTTGTCTCTGTTGTTGTCGCTGTTGTTGTTGTTGTTGTCTCTGTTGTTGTTGTTGTCTCTGTTGTTTTTGTCTCTGTCGTTGTCTCTGTCATTGTTGTCGTGTCATGTGACGATGCTCTGCCCCTCCCCTCCCCCTGCAGGATGACACCACCTGTCAGATCACAGAGGAGCCGTTCTACACCCTCTTCTCCTCCCTGGGCTCCTTCTACATCCCGCTGGCCGTCATCCTGGCCATGTACTGCCGTGTCTACGTCGTGGCCAAACGCACCACCAAGAACCTGGAGGCCGGCGTGATGAGGGAGCGGCAGGAGGACTCCAACGAGCTCACCCTGAGGATCCACTGCAGGAACCAGCAGGTCCACGAGCTGTGCCCGGGGGCGTCGGCCGGACGCAGCACGCTCTCCGTCAAACTGCTCAAGTTCTCCAGAGAGAAGAAGGCCGCCAAGACGCTGGGCGTGGTCGTGGGCATGTTCATCCTGTGCTGGCTGCCCTTCTTCTTGGTCCTGCCCCTCGGTACGTGCTCACCTGTACACCTGTCCAGTCCTCGACAGACCACATGACACACACAGGTGTCCAGTTACAGTGAAGTTCAGTTGAAACACTGTTTCCTCAGGTAGTGGGCGGGGCCTGTAGTTCACCTGTAGAAGCTAACAGGTGTTTATCTTAGAGCCTCATTTCGATCCGCTCCAGTTTACCCTGCTAAACTTACTGCAGCACACTGTTAATACAAACTATACACTTCCTGTAAGCTTTTCAAATGAAAAGCCCCCTAGCATTTCAGTGGGCAGAAACCCTGCATTTCTTATCAGATCAATTATCATATTATTATTAAAGATATTGTGATTATTTTGACACATTGGGACACAAGTCATTTTTTCATAATAAAAATGATGATGTGAGACACACAGCTGTTTAAAACAGATGTTCAGCCTCACACTCCTGCATGTGTGATTCAGGGCCCGTCTGTAAATCAGAGCGTCTACATGTCTCCAGGTTACATAAAACTGTTGCTTCATCACAGTAATGACTAAATAATCACTTTTATCAAAGAGAAAAACTTTTCTTCAAAAACGTTTGAAACGACCCAGAAACACGTTGATGTAACAAGGACTCATCTAATTGATCATGATCAGCAGGTGATTACTTGAACTCTTAATTTATCAGGCAGATTAACAACTGTCATTTGCATATTGATCACATGATTAACTAACAGCTGCTCTGATTGGTCAGAGAGACTTCCTCAGGTAACACACCTGCTGAGAGTCTAAGGCTTCATATCGTCCTGAACACATTGAACTCTTTACTTTGAGCAGCTGTTCATGCTAACGTTAGCTCTGTAGCATTAGCAGATACAAATAGCTCCTTTAAAGGGGGGGGGGCTGTTTCCAGAAACACTTTGGATTTCTTTATATTTGAAATATTTGACCTGAGGTCGCCTCAGGTCGTACGTCACCGGCCAATCAGCAGCCAGAGTTTCCGGGACACGACCCAGCAGTGACTTGTTTCTCAGAGTGCTCGCATTGACACAGAAGTGAAGGACGGGAAGTTCTTCACTGATTTATTTTCTATGTTTGATTTGGACAGTGGAGCCAGACTTTCCCCCCGGCTAACCACAGATTAGGGCTGAGCTCTGATTGGTCCGTTAGACAGGAAGCTGTTTGTGTTCAACACTGAGCAGAATGTGTCACAGACTGATCTGAGATCTGTGCTCTACGTCCCGCAGGGAAACACACGGAGCAGAGAGATTATAGCCGCTGGTCGGCCGGTGGTCGGCCGGTGGTCGGCCGGTGGTCGGCCGGTGGTCGGTCGGTGGTTGGCTGGTGGTTGGCCGGTGGTCGGCTGCAGTATGTAACTGAAACAACAGAACACAGCCCAGTCTCAGGTTCGCTCCTCTTCTCTCCAGCTGCTCGTTTGTCTGCGTTCGTGAGTTCGTCCTGATATTTCCTGCTTATCAGAAAATCGTGAGCGCTGCCGTCAAAGAGGAATCGAAGCTCCTGATTTCCTAAAAAGGTTTCTGGACGGGTTCCTGCGGTCTGTAATCCCGTCTGAGATCAGCTGTAGGCGTTAAGCAGCATCCATCATAACATTTATCTAACTGTAAGACCTGGCTGAGGAGCACACGACCTCTGGACCGCAGCAGATCTCACAGAGAACAGACTGGTTTCAGACCGTGAGCACACTGATCCTCTGATCTACACAAACAGTCCTGGATCAGAGGATTCACACACACGTTTATTTCTGTACAGCAGCAGTGGAGCCTACAAATGGTGATGTTGGTCCACAGACAGAAACTCAGACCAGGTCCTGTCAGAAACCTGTCTGAGGCTGGTTCAACTCTCATCATCATCATCATCATCACATGTCTCATATATGAACATCATAGGAACAAGGAGAAACACTGAGTCCTGGTCTCAGTCCTGGTCTGAGTCTGAGTCTGAGTCTGAGACTGAGTCTGAGTCTGAGTCTGAGTCTCTGAGTCTCAGTCTCAGTCTCAGTCTCAGTCTCAGTCCTGGTTGAGTTCTGAGTCTGAGTCCTGGTCTGAGTCTGAGTCTGAGTCTGACGTCTGAAGTCCTGGTCTGAGTCTGAGTCCTGAGTCTGAGTCTGGTCCTCGGTCTCAGTCTTGGTCTCAAGTCTGAGTCTGAGTCTGAGTCTCAGTCCTGGTTCTAAGTCTTGGTCTTGAGTCTGAGTCTGAGTCTGAGTCCTGAGTCTGAATCTGAGTCTGAGTCCTGGTCTGAGTCTGAGTCTGAGTCTGAGTCCTGGTCTGAGTCTGAGTCTGAGTCTGAGTCTGGGTCCTGGTCTCAGTCTTGCTCTCAGTCTGAGTCTGAGTCTCAGTCTGAGTCCTGGTCTAAGTCCTGTGTCTGAGTCTGAGTCTGAGTCTGAGTCTGAGTCTGAGTCTGAGTCCTGGTCTAAAGTCTGCTGTCTAGTCTGAGTCTGAGTCTGAGTCTGAGTCCGTGTCAAGTCCTGGTCTGAGTCTGAGTCTGAATCTGAGTCTCAGTCTATGGTCTGAGTCTGAGCAGTCTGAGTCTGAGTCTTGTCTGAGTCGAGTCTGAGTCTTTGGTCTGAGCTGAGTCTGAGTCTTGAGTCTTGGTCTGAGTCTCAGTCTCAGTCTGAGTCTCTGGTCTCAGTCTGAGTCTGAGTTGAGTCTGAGTCTGGTCTGTCTCAGTCTTGGTCTGAGTCTGAGTCTTGAGTCTTGGTCTGTAGTCTTGAGTCTGAGTCTGGTCTGAGTCTCGTCTCAGTCTGAGTCTTGGTCTCAGTCTAAGTCTGAGTCTGAGTCTGGTCTGTCTGAGTCTAGTCTGGTCTGAGTCTGAGTCTGAGTCTTGTCGATCCTGAGTCTGAGTCTTTGTCTGAGTCTAGTCTCAGTCTGAGTCTGAGTTTGAGTCTGAGTCTGAGTCCTGGTCCAGAGGACACTTCCTGTGGCGCCCCTCAGACAGACATGTCCTCTGGAGTCTGCAGTCTCAGCTGGACGTCCTCTGACTTGAGTTATGCTGAGTGCTCAGTGATGCAGTGTTTGCTTTATGCTGAGTCATGATCTGCACTGCGTCCTGAGTCAGTGAAGACAGACTCCGCCCCCTCCACCTCTTAAAGTACTCTGCAAGTCTGCAGGACACACACACACACACACACACACACACACAACACACACACACACACACACACAACACACACACACACACTCTTACAGTGGGTTTTTACCTTCACTAATGAGTCTTTTTCAAACAGCTGGTTGTGAACTAATTAGTAGAAAAACCTCTGAGGAAATGTTATTATTTATTTATTATTTTGTTTGTTTGTTTGCTTGTTTGTTTGTCTGTTTGTTGGTTGACAGACTCTGACTCTGCTGACAATGAATGATAATGAAATGAACTTGTGTGTATAGATGAAGTGATTGAAAGTGTAGCTGTTGTCAACATGTTGAACTCAGTCACATTAAATCCACCTGGACAGGTAGAGTGAAGGTGGAGCCTCCTGTGGCTGGAGGGAGGATTACACCCCCACACACATACTGCATGACAGAGCAGATATTTACTGAAACCATCTTGCGTGTTTTCACAGTGATGCATTATGGGTAGGTGTCACATGTTTTTCCCATGATGGACGTCAGGCTTCACGTGGAGCCCGAGATCTGATCCAACAAATCCTCCAAGATCCTCCGACACACTGACATCACCTGGCTCACCTGTGTGTGTGTGTGTGTGTGTGTGTGTGTGTGCGCATGTGTGTGTGGTCTTCATGTTGTGATTTTTAAAAAAGTTCGTTTAGAGAACACCTGATCAGCCTGAATGATGAACTGTTTACCGTGCACCTGTGTTTACCTGCATACCTGTTTACCTGTTTACCTGTTTACCTGTGTGTCCTCAGGCTCGTTCAACAGCAGCCTTCGTCCTCCTGAAACCTTCTTTAAAGTGATTTTCTGGTTGGGATACTTCAACAGCTGCCTGAACCCCATCATCTACCCCTGCTACAGCCGCGGAGTTCAAACAGGTAACATGATGCTAAGCTAACCGGCTGTGCACCTGTGTCTGTGGGAGGGCAACACACAGTGAGGGGAGGGGCTCACAACATGTGAGAAACAGGAAGCAGAGCAAGGACGCAACGTCACATGTAATTGTTGTGTGAGTGCCTGATGCTTGGTGCTAGAGTGATAGCAACACTGATAATAATAATGATTAATAATAATAATAATAATAATATTGGTACCATTGGATTCCTGAGCGCTATCTGTGATGGGAGTTTGCGTTTGTCTTAGCGACTGGTGGGTTATGGGAGTATATGGGGAAGTGCAGTAGGATTAGCTGGCTTCTAGTCGATCATGATTCCGCGAGTGGTCTCTTGATGGGGAATTTGACTGGCTTCGATAATAAACGTCCGGTGTATCTAGGAGGCAAGATCGTGGGGTCTGACTGACCTCTAATAGTTTCTGCGACGTGTCACTGATATGGTTCTACTTGGTTATTGAATGGGGGGTGTCGCTGACTGGTTCAATGAATGGGGCTGGGTGTGACTGACCCTCTCAGCCATTTAGGTTCTAATGTGGCTATGAGCTGGTTTCATGGATGGATTTGACTGGCTTCTGAAACGAGAGGTTCTGAGATGCTCTTGATGCGCGTCCTGACCTGCGACTCGAGAGTGTTGTGTTCCTGTGGTACAGGCGTTTCTAATGTATTGCCTTCTGATCGGTTCTGACTGGCTGCTGATGGCTCTGCGGACTGAGCATTCTAGAAACAAGCGGTGTCCTCGGGAAGTGGCTTCTGATGGCGGCTGATGGTCTATTTGAGTGATTTTTAATGGTGCCCTCTAGACTGAGCTCTATTTGAATTGTGAATTTCTGACAAATGGCTCATGAGATGGGGTTCTGTATAGGTTCTGGTATGGGAGCTGGAGCTGTTTCAACTGGTTCCATATTAGATTATTATCATGAGGTTACTTGATGTTCGAGTGATGATCCATTGATCGTATCACCTTATCAGCGCCTTTAGCTACTAATCCACCAGGATACCGTGCCGGTGCCGGGGTGAGGAAGTAGAAGACAGGCGTTATGTGTTATTGTTTACATAAACTGAACATGCGCCTTGGGCGGCTTAGCTCAAGCAAGGGCCTCCAACTACACGTACTGTGGCCGCCAGAAGTCAATGCGATGACGCTGTTGTTTGTGGGATTGGTGTCTTTATAGAGCAAGGTTTATGGGGCCTCGCACACCGCGCAGCCCTATAGAAACGTCTCGATACGCTCCCGCTCCAAGCACCAAGGACTCTTGACATAAGGCGGTTGTTACGCTCACATCCAGGCTTCGCTATCCCCCGCCGGCAATGCACAGCGCCGCAACTCCACACAGATGACGACTCGGCTCTCGTACTAGTGGCGACGCACGGCCCTTAGGGATTATCTCTGCGGTATGTGGCGGGTGTGTGCGCCGGAGGGACAGGAGGGCGACCGAGGTATTGGGGATTGTGCAGAGCCACGGTTGTCCAGCCGCATCTCGGTAGAGGGATGCCGGCCGTACGTCGCGCCGCCAGGCGTATAATGGAAGCGTGCGGGAAGCGGAGAGAAGAGGCGCACACACGGAGGGCCGGTGCGAGGAAGGACCGCCGCCGTCTAAACTGTGAGGAGTGGGAGGCGGCTGACCCGGCCTAGTACTCGTCGCGTACATCTAGATAGCCATTCAGGAAAGGACGCAAGGTATTAACCGCTGACATCACAGGGCGCTCTTCCACTCCAGTGTGATGATTGTCTGTCAGGACGGTGTACGAGGGTGTTCCGACAGGGAGAGCCCATCACTGCTACAGACCTTAAAATACACACTGAGGTAACAGGCAGGACGAGCCCGTCCACACGCCTCGGACAGCTTCGGTCTGAACCGCTGTGGGAAAACTATCGTTTGGGAACAAATCCATAGGATGTTCACCCTGGATGGTGTCCTTCGCAGATCAGGCACCGCGCCTGCGAAATGCAGCTCTGGAGATTGTTCCGTGGGCCATAGCATCATAGAGTAACACCCAATAGTTTCAGCCCATCGTATGAGTCAGGTGAAGTTCGCAGCATACCTTGCACCGCAATGGGAGAAGTCAAGCACGAAGAGAAGAGAAAACGATAGTGTCCAAAGTTGAAAAGACACACGGAAGTAAACTGTTGAACGCTAAAGATTCTTCTGTAAAACAGCACCCAACAAACCTCAAACTTTTAAAACTGCATTAGGCAGTAGTAAATTTATTTAGGTTAGAACCATTCAAATCACGTGATATAGATATACGGCGCGTCGGATTTCCATTGTAACATCTTCAGCTACTACGTATTGACAGGGCGAGATCTCTGGACGTTCTGGACTATACGTCTGTGTGATGTTTGAACTCAACCAGTTTCAATATATAATATCGCCCATACCTCTTAGTGCTCCTCAGAAGCTCCGCCCTCCAAAACTAACACCAGTTGGGCTAGCTGAGATGCAATAACGAGGAAAATCGTGTTCAGAATCCCAGGGGTGCAAACCTCAACCTGGCAGTTGTAAAAAACACTCAACAAACCATCAACTTAGAAAACGTATCAGAAACAGCACTATTAAT